TGCCGCTGCGGCTGCTCTGATGAAACCCAGCCGCCTAATGCATGAAACCTATTAGAACTGTAATTGTGACTAATTGAAATTCATCTCCTATTAGCGCTGCACTTTCCATGAAAATAAAAAGTAGGATGGAAGTAAAGTAAGGAACAAAACTGCTTTAATGGCCCAAAATGGAGCAATTATTTTTTCTCTTTACCTAAACATAGTTTACTGCCTTATTAAAAGCGTGTTTGTAGGAATACTATCACATTAAAATTCCAGTGCATGAATCACCAACCGGAGCCACTGATGCTTTAGCTAATACTGGTTTTCTCCTTCAGCTTTTGCAAACTAAAAAGATTCAGGTCATGCTGGGGTCACTGAAATCTTGTGCTTCCACTTGCGGAGAATGAATGAGCCTGCGCTGCAGCAGAACTCTGACATTCTAGTAATAAATGATAACACTACTCTAATGATCTTTATTTATGACTGCTTTTTTCTGTGGAAGATTATTATGTTTACTCACAGATAGATATATTTTCATGTAGTTAAAGAATAAAAGCATCCTGAGGAACTGCTGTCTGTCCAGTGAACATAATTTCAGTCCGTAATGAATATCTGTAGTTCCTAGACTACTAGCACTGTAATCTAAAAAGCCACTAATATTGTAATAAGCAGAAGCCGTAAATTGTTGATTTACAAGAGGTCAGTAAAGGAGCATTGCTTTCCTTGATCTAATGCAGTTGTATTTAATATTACCATATAAACCAGAATTTTAATTTTCCTTGAGAAATGCAGGGCTTGAATCTGATCTCGTATATACAGAAATGCCAACGTGTAATGCAATAACTGAGCTTCCCTCCAAGGAGGCTGTTTCTGCCCAGCGGTGAGGATCTCCCAGTTGCCCAGACTTGCTTGCTTTAGAGCCAGGTTAAAACTTTGCTGGGTTGTGCCCTTGGCAAGCAGTCCTCATTCCCTTTCCCAGCCACTGCATCCTCTTCAACTGCTTATGTTTTTCGCCCCCAGCTAATTGAAAACGTGCAAGTGTAATGTGAGGCTGTCAGCATCCACGTACCACGTTACGAGCACGTTAGATGATTACTGAAAATGAATGTATTGAAGTTTGTGTTTCGCCACTAGTTCTGCTTGTTTACTTCTTCCATTACAGTCTGCTGCATCAATGAAAAAAAAATGGATCAGTGTTGTGGCTTCCTTCTCTTTTGTCTCTCTCATGAGGATATTACTGCCTATAGATAGGCAGCCTGGCAGGCACGAGCAACAGAAAGGGTTCTCCTGGCTTGGAAAGTCAGCCTAGCCATGTACACCTTGGATGGAATTCCCAGCATCACACATTGTGTATTCTGTATTGTATTTACGAAAGCAGCAAGATCTCTTTGTTCTTACAATTCCAGGTGAATACATTTGCAGGTAAAACTGTTCTGCCCCTCTGGTCATTGATGTGAACGGTAAAACTGTGCTTTCCATCGTTTCTGAGCGTGTATAATCGTGGGGCAATTCTTTTCGCTGGCAGTTATGAAGAGGTAGGCCTATTTGGCAGCTACAAGTAGCCAAACTGATATGGACAAGGGGAATGAAAGAACATCTGTTAACAGTTTTTATCATTAATATTCTCGGGAGCTGGGGCTTTGTGAACGCTCTGTTTAGTATTGCTCTGTGTCTCATGCAGTAAAACGTGGTCCCAGAGAAATTAGTTTAGCCTATGAAATAATAAAATTTAGGTTGCAGGGGATGCTATCGCTTCTAGTGAGACACAAATGCCAATGCCGAGACAAACGTTCAAGTGAGGCAGTTCTACCTGCTCATCACTGCTTCTGCAGTGTCATGTAGGGAGCCAAAAGTCGAGATCAAGCCGGTCATGTAGGAAAGTCAGCTGTTTGTCCAAATTCAGTGTGCAGTTACTGCTCTGCAGTCTGAGGGGAGCCGGTGCCAGCTGCTGTTCATGTCAAGTCTTCTCATACGAGGCCCTATATCCTGGGTGTTATCCCTCAGCTTCCATCTGAGACTGGACAAGGCCAGGACAGCCCGGGATTTGTGCACTGGCTTTGTTCTGGCTTGCACGCAGCATTTGGAAAAGTGACCGCTGGGAGGTGTTAGCTTTTCTGCGATTTCCTTTCCCCCAGCTCCGTGCTGGAGTGTATGATGTGCTCTGTTGCAAGGATGTTTGCATGTTAGCTTGTGTGAGTATGGCTCAGTTAATCCCTGTTTCTACCAGGGATTTCCCAGAAAGCAATAAATGCACCCGCTGACCAGCAGGGCTGCCCAGGTGTGGGGTATAAACGCACTGGGAATGCGCCTTCGATGCATCCTTGTGCTGACAGATCAGATTCCATCAGACTTCATGTGTAGGAGCTGATGTCTTACTGAAGGTCTGTCAAAATCCATAGGCTGGTGACCCTCGGTCTGCCTTGCCTCGCAGCTTGAGGTAGCTGCTGGGGGGGTGAGCAGAGCACAGAGGCAAGCTGGGGGCTGCGTGCATGCACAGAGCGGCCCGCAAGCGGGGGCTTGCTCCTCCTTTCCTTGGGCAGGAGCTTGGCCATGGCCCTCGTAGCAGAGGGTCCTTTCCACCGGGAAAGGAGTTCCCAGTCTGTCCTACGAGAGCTGATCTGTTTTGCACGGATTACTTGAAGGCTTAGTGGGTCATGGAGCAGAAAAAAGGTTCCTATTCCGAGCAGGGAGACAGAGGGAACAGGGAGGAGAGGTGCACGTTTCAGTCCCTGCTCAGAGGAATGTGTGTGGTTTATATTAAGCCATCCTTAGATAAAACACAGAGATGCCCCGATGCATCCCAGCTCTGCCTCCCCCTTTGCCAGGACGGCTTTAGCCATCCGGCTGGAGAGTCACACTACGCTCACGCAGAACCTGCTTCCCTCCCATCCTCCCGTGCTCGCTCCCAGCTGTAACTGGGGCGCCTGAAGTGGCACCGCTTGGGTGGGAGAATCTGCAGGATCCTGCCGTAGCCTGCGGCGCTGTGGCTGCGGGCGCTCTGCGGGGAGGAGGGAGGTGTGGGTCTGACTGGGAGCTCCCTTCGCCTGGCGGGTAGAAGGATGGAGCTGGTTGAAGTAGTGGTTTCTGCTCCAGTGGCACAGCCGTGCCCGAACGCTGTTTTCGTACCAACTGATCAGGAACGTCTCTCTTGAGCTCGCGGATCTCTGGGCAGCGCGCAGGGATGGAGGCCGGCAGCTTCGCAGCACGTGCGTGAGGAATTTGGGTTTGGGGCGTTCTGCGACGTGCGCTGGGGGGAGGCAGCTCTCTGCCCCTTGGTGCCAGCCCGTGTCCCTTGGCGGGGCGCCTGGCTCGGACACGGCGGCAGGGAGGAGCGTGCCCTTCTCTGGAGATGGGGCTTTGTGTCAGGGAACAGCAGCCCTGGGGACCTCCATGTTTTCTATAACTTGGTCTTTCCATGGTTTGTGGGTTTTTTTCTGCATGATGTGTTTAATTTGTTTCTCCCCCCCCGCCCCGAAAAAGTCCTTTGAATGAGCAAAATAGAGGAGGGAGAGACAAAGAAAATTAAAACTTTTTTTTTCCCCTGGAGGATTTTCAATCAAAATAATTTCAAATTATGGGGTCAGAATGAATGTCATACTTGTGTGTTAAGTACTTGCCTACTTTGTGGGATGTTTTGTACGGATTCTTCACTAAATTATCTTAGCTACTGTTGCTAGGTAACATTGTTTGCTTCATAGCATCAGAGAAATAAGAGGGTCAAAGAGAGCAATTTCACGTTATTATCATCTGAGTTATACTAATAAGGTTTTCATTGTACATCTTAGAAATTTTCCCTTTTTTTTTTTCCCTTAGGGAACGTCATTGTCTATGGGAACACAATTGACATTTACACCACGGTAGAAACCCTCTTATCTCTTGGAATTAGTGGTTCTCGCATACATCTGGTACAGCCTCCGCTCAGCTCCAACGTTACTTGCCTCAACAACAACGCGGTGGAAGGTGCCGTTGAGGAGGCGCTGTGGAGGGCTGGGGTGTCCGTTCATCGTGACAGCATCCTGGCACAGTGGGGCGGCGGCGACAGCCCGGCCCTCATCACGTGTGCCACTTTCACCACTGACACCAAACCGTTTCGATTGCAGTGCTCAGTGAGTATGTGCCTTCGCTGGGTTTCCTTCAGCCTGCTTTTTGAGACAAAGACCATCACGTTTAGATAGTCCCTCCGTGGTTTATCTATTTTCTTATTGTCTCTAGAAGATTGAGCGTTCGCTTGTTAGTCTAAAGGACTGGTTTTTTTAAATCTAAATAAAAGCATTGTTAATACCCTGGCTGATTTGGATCAGGATGCATATAAGTCACCTGACTGACAAATAGTTGTTTGCTGCTGAGTGACAAATACTCGTAATTCATTTTCTCAATAATTCCAGAAATCCTTTTCTTATTTAAATGTGTACAGTGACTCCTGACTATAGTTATGTGCATTTGATTGAGATTTGATTAAGTCATGGTAAAAGCCAGTAACGTTAGGATGGATTGGCCCACTGTGTAACTTAGTCAAAATATATTTTAAACGGATTTTTCTCCCTCTACATTAACGACTGCGTTTTTGTTCATCTGTAGTGTCAGTATCTCAGTAAATGATGCCCACACTCACAGGTGTGGCCCCACCGTGAGATTTGGGACAGGTTCTACCTGTTCTTAACGGGCAGAATAGTTCTGTTTTTCTTCACTGGGCTAATCCGTGCGAGCGAGTGCTTCTGATAGAGTCACTTCAAAACGAGCATCCGTAGGAAGCCGTGGGGGCCCCTCGGCACCCCCGCTGCGGGCACACTTCCCGGTGCAGCAGGTCTGCTGTAGTTCTGGGAAGGAAGAATCCTGTGCCTCCCCCGGAGAGCTCCCCAGGAGTCGGTGGTCCCCGCCAGCTCCCCTGCACTGGAAAGCTCTAAGTCATTGGGTTTTCCCAACCCTTTTCTTTTTAACATATGGCAAGTTAAGCCCTTCCTGATGGAGGGGAGGCCTTGCATAGCACTTTTACACACTAGCAGTCTCCTGACTTTGCTCCCTGTATCAGTAGTGACATTCCTCCCACACTTTCCTCATATGCAGCGCTTTGGTTTCTCTCCTTTTTCCCTGAAATCCCTCTATTTTTATTGTTCTTCTACAGAGATCTCCATGTGGTTCTTGTTCTTGCAACTCGGTGTCTGTTCACCACCTCCCCATCGCCCCCCCGCTTTTCCACACCACCTTGCCCGTGTGACCTGTGCCATTCCTTCAAGACCTCCGTTTCCTCATGGTTGGTTTCTCTTGCCCTTTTGTGCCCCATGCCCGTCCCTCCTCCAGCCATGGTTCTTCCCTCTTGAGATCCCTCTTACTCAGTCTCTAAGAAGAGAGACGTGCAATTACGTGCGATGTCAGGGGCTTTATGTCCTCCCAGACCGGTTCAGCTGCCTTGCGTGGTGCCTGTGTCTGCTTTTCGCTGCCTGCGAGGCCGGGCTCGGAGGAGGAGGAGGACGGCTCCGGTGCACAACCTCCGCCAAGAAGGCAGCTGCATTCGCCAGGGAGCGGGCAGTGCAGGAATCGGCACTGCAGCAGCTCTGGGCCTTTTGGGACGTGAGCCAATATCAACTGTTGATTGGCAGTTCTTGGGGGCTTAATTTGTTGAGTCCTGCAGGATGAAAACAACGGGAGAAAATCTCCTCTCTCCCTCAAGTGGCAGCCGCCCTC